TGAACTCCTGGATTCCAGTGAGCCATCTCGGCTTCCCAAAGTGCTGGGATTACCGGTGTGGGCCACTGTGCCTGTCCCAGTGGCAAGGTTTAAATACCTATGTATTATACATGATAACTCACTGAATTATCACAATAACTCTTAGGGGTAGATGTGATTTTTTTTTCCTTGAGAAAGGATCTCATGATGTTGTCCAGACTGGTTTTGAACTCCTGGGCTCAAGTGATCCTGCTGTCTCAGCCTCCCAAATAGCTGGGGCTATAAGCACGTGCCATAGAGCCTGGCTCAGATAGATATTATTTTTATTCGTATTTTAAAAAGAATGAAACTGAGGCACAGAGATGTTAGGCCACATGCTCAAAGGCACACAGCAAAGAAATTGCAGAGCTGATGATTTGAACCCAGGCTGTCTGGTTCCAAAGCTGAAGTTATGAGACAGAGGCTCCACCTGAGTGCAGAATCTGGTTGAGGCAGTGGTATAACTTTATTTTAATTAATTAATGTATTTATGTTTTGTGAGACGGAGTCTTGCTCTGTCACCCAGGCTGGAATGCAGTGGCATAATCTTGGCTCACTGCAACCTCCACCTCCTAGGTTCAAGCGATTCTCCTGCCTCAGCCTCCCAAGTAGCTGGGATTACAGGAGCCCACCACCATGCCTGGCTAATTTTTGTATTTTTAGTAGAGACGGGGTCTTACCACGTTGACCAGGCTGGTCTCGAACTCCTGACCTCAGTGATCCGCTGGCCTCGGCCTCCCAAAGTGCTGGGATTACAGGCGTGAGCCACCACACCCGGCCAACAGTGGTATAATTTTAAATCTGAATTCAATCTGAATGAGCTGACATTTAAAAATTGGGAGATTTCTTTTCTTTTGAGACAGAGTCTTGCTCTGTTGCCCAGGTTGGAGTGCAGTGGCGTGATCTCGGCTCACTGCCACCTCTGCCTCCCGAGTACAAGTGATTCTCCTGCCTCAGCCTCTCAAGCAGCTGGGACTACAGGCGTGTGCCACAATGCCCAACTAATATTTGTATTTTTAGTACAGACAGGGTTTCACCATATTAACCAGGTTGGTCTCAAACTCCTGACCTCATGATCCACCCACCTCAGCCTCCCAAAGTGCTGGGATTACAGGCATGAGCCACCATGCCCGGCCAAAATTGGGAGATTTCACCTAAAACATCCTGTTTGGGCTTTTTTTTTCCCCTCAGGAAATGAGATGTAGGCCCACCCTCCTGCCCAGTGAGCCTGTGGCTGCCTCCCATCATCACAGAACTTGAGGGAGTGATGATGTTATGCTGTCCTACCTTTGAGAGGTGTTTGCTCTGCCTTTCTCACTGGTGGGAGCTCTGGCTCTAGTGCTCAGAGCCAGGAGGGGACACCTGGGAACTTGCCTGACCAGTCCAGGGACTTCCTGAGAAGCTCAGGAGACACAGGGATTCAAACATAGCTCAGAGGAAAGACAGAGTGAGGGTGGGGAAGGGAGTAGCTGAGATTGCAGCAAAGCCTTGGGCGGATGCAGAGGGTACGGATCTCTCCCCAGGCCCAGCTTCTCTCCTGAACCCCCGACTTGGGCCTGAAGCCTCCCTCTCAAGGGTCGCCTCACTGTCCCCAAGTTCCTCCCTGTACCTCACCATGAATACCCCTCTCTCTCCCCTACCCCAGCCCAGCAATCCCATGACCTGTCCACTAGGCCTCCCTAGTGTCTCTCCCCCCTACCTCCTCTCCACTCTACCCATGCTGGTCCAGACCTTTGCTCCCCCTGGGCTCCCACCTCAGTGTCCCCTTCTGATCCACCCTCCACAAGGCAGCCAGGGGAATCTTCCAGAAAAATAACAAACCTGACCCTGATCTTCCCCTGCTTGGAACCTTCCACTGGAACCTTCCGTGACTCTACAGCACCCAGGGGTGGAGTCTGCACTCCTCAGCCTGGTACTAAGAGATGTATACCTTCCCTCACCATCATTTGTGGTCAGACCCACTTCACTTTTCTTTCTTTTTTTTTCTTTTCTTTTCTTCTTTCTTTTTCTTTCTTTCCTTCCTTCCTTTTCTTTCTTTCTCCTTTCCTTTTCCTTTCCTTTCCTTTTTCCTTCCTTTATCCTTCCTTCCTTCCCTCCCTCCCTTTTCTTTCTTTCTCTCTCTCTCTCTCTCTTTCTTCCTTCGTTTTTTGGTTTTTTCTTTGTTTGTTTGTTTGTTTTTTCAGTGTCTCAATCTATCACCCAGGCTGGAGTGCAGTGGTGTGATCTCAGCTCACTGCAACCTCCACCTCCCCGGCTCCAGCGATCTTCCTGCCTCAGCCTCCTGAGTAGCTGGGACTAGAGGCTCGTGCCACCACACCTGGCTAATTTTCTTTCTTTCTTTCTTTCTTTTTTTTTTTTTGTATTTTTTATAGAGACAGGGTTTTGCCATGTTGCCCAGGCTGGTCTCAAACTCCTGACCTCAAGTGATCTGCCGGCCTCGGCCTCCCAAAGTGTTGGGATTACAGGCGTGAGCCACCACACCTGGCCTCCCACTTTGTTTTGATAACACTTTTGCCATGGGACATCCTACATCATTTTACTATTATCTTTCTGTCTAAATTCTGCACCCCTCCCACTGCCCTTACCATGCCAGGCCTGCGATCCGGTCAGCTCTGCCCCAACCCAAAATGATCTAAGTTTCAGTTTCCCCAATGACCACAATTCCTATTTCCTAGGATTACTGGAATATAGTGACTGTGAGGATTAAGAGTGCCTGTACTTCAGGCTCACAGCAAGTATGTGTGACTGATCACTGCTGGAAATGGGGAAACTGAGGGGAAGCCAAGAAAAGAGAACTTCTCGGCCGGGCGCGGGGGCTCACGCCTGTAATCTCAGCACTTTAGGAAGCTAAGGCGGGAGGATCACTTGAGGACAGGAGTTCGAGACCAGCCTGGGCAATATAGCGATACTCCGTCTCTACTTAAATATTTAAAAAATTTAGATTAAAAAAAAGAGAAAAGGGCCCTTCTCAGAGTTACCGGCTCAGGATTCCCCATATCTTACCACGCACCACACTGCCTGAGCCACCACCATTCAATCTCAAAGCGACTTCAAGCGCAGACCGGGAGGGTGTGAAGGTGGCAGCCAACGCTCGCTGCCTGATACAGCGATTGTCAGGTGGGCTGCAGGGAAAAGTCGTGCAGTCCCCTTTCCGCGATACTCCCTTCTACCGGGACTCCACACCCTGTCAACCCGATGGTCCCGACAGGCCCCCGACGTCAGGGTCCTCACCTGATTTCTCCACTTTCACCTTCACGGGGAACATGGTTTGGGTCCAGGATCTGGCTAGCTGGGTCAGAGGCGCCCCAAAGGGCCTAGGGTCACAAATCAAGGCGGCAGGCGGGCGGGGACAGTTCAAAGATGAGCTTCGTAGGCCACAGCTCCTCCGCCTTTGGTTGTGTTCAGCCTGGACCATGGCCACCACCCTTCTGTGGGCGGGCCCCTTCGGCAGCAGCTTGCTCCTATTAGTTAATGCAGTCGTCAATCTTACATCCTGACCAATTGAAAGCTGCCTCCGTAGTCTCCCAGCTTTAGGTCCCACCCTCCTGGGGCTTTGCTTCCGGAAACAAACCATCGACCACCAAGCTTCCTGGGAGGTGTAGTTCCAGGTTCCCAGACCCACCCGGAGTAACAGCGCCTGCGCCGCGCGGGGCACGGTGGGAAACAAAGGATTAGGGCATCGCGAGGCTTCCCGGGACTTGTAGTGTTAGAAGGGTTGAGCAACACCAATTTAACTCTTTACCATATTTAACCAACCGTTGGAGTCCCTTCATCCCTAAGAGGAAGACTAATGTAAAATAACGTTGGGTTCCCTCTCACTGAGCACTCTCTAGGTGACAGGTACCAGTTAATCTCTTTGCAGGTACAACTTCATTCATTTTGCAAATATTTATTAGTATGCCGGGCACTCTTCTAGGCATTGGGGACACCTTGAGGAACAGAACAGACAAAAATCCGTGCCCTAATAGGGCTTATCTTTTAAAGGATGGAAGATAAACAGTAAACAAGTAAAACATTCTAAGTGAAATGTAATAGGAGAAAGAATATAGTCTGGGCGGGGCACGGTGGCCCACACCTGTAAGTATCAGCCCTTTGGGAGGCCGAGGCGGGCAGATCACCTGCGACCAGGAGTTCGAGACCAGCCTGGCCAACATGGTGAAACCCCGTCTCTACCAAAAATACAAAAATTAGCCGGGACTGATGGCATGCCCCTGTAATTCCAGCTACTCCAGAGGCTGAGGCAGGAGAATCGCTTGAACCCGGGAGGCGTAGGTTGCAGTGAGCTGAGATCACACGTCTGCACTCCAGCCTGAGTGACAGAGCAAGACTCCATCTCGAAAAACAGACAACAACAAATCCCCAGCCCCCCACCAAAAAAAAAAAAAACCCACAAAAAAAGTGTAGCCTTAAACGGACATAGGAATATCAAGGTGGTGATTGAATTTTAAATAAGATGGATGGTCAAGGAAGGATTCTCTGAGAAAGCTCTTGACTATTTTTATTTTTGCAGACAACACTTCCTTCAGAAAACGGGAAACTTGGATTTATCACACATCTTGGTCCAAATAAATCCTAGGAGGTAGCATTGTGATCTACACTTCTGATGAGAATACTGAAGCCCACAGTAGGAAAGTTATGTTTTTGAATTGACGACTACCAGTACAGGGTAACAGCCCCTAGAAATGGAAGCACTAGACCAATTGTACCACTGCATTCCAGCCTGGGCAACAGAGCAAGACTGTCTCAAAAACAAACAAAAACAAAAACAAAAAAAACGGAAGCACTATTCCTTTCTTAGTTCCTCATCTAATAGTTTCCTGAGCAGGAAAGTTCCTAGTTCAGAAGATTATGAGTAGTATTTACTGTAAAAAATGTACATCATGTCTAAATACTAAGCCTGGCACAAAGCACTCAACAAATGTTTTTAAATATTAATAATCATTTATGCCTCAACCTCTAAAAGATCCCAGGAAGTCAGTATCGAAAGTTAGGGTCCTTTATTGGGTGATGTCAGCAGAGAACAGGGGAGATGAAAACAAGTCTTAGGAGTTTGAGAAGGGGCTCCCAGGACAGGCTCCTCTGCTCTAAGGAGCCTGTCCTGGGAGAATGAGCAGGGTTCCAGTCTGTGCAGAAGTTGTCAGGGGGTGCCCAGAGGTATGGTGAAGGAGAGGTAGTCCCCAAGGGCACCCCAGCGGGGCCGGTAGATCTGGAAGATGGTGATCCAGGAGGTGAGCACTATCACCCAGAAGAGGAAGCCCACAGCTGAGCGCCAGACATCTGTCACGGGAAACAGAAGTGGGAAGGGTTGGCCTCCTGCTGCTCTCCAGACTTCCCTAGACCAGCCTTCCCTTCTCACCCAGAGCCCCAAAATTCTGGATCCTCCATTGTCCCTTCCCACCAAGACTCCCCCGCTTCCCCCTCTCCCCAACCACTGGCCTCCCTCCTCTGTACTCTGGACTCACAGCCTTTGATTTGGCTCTGTTCTGTGTAGGCTGGGACAAGGAAGGCCTCTCGGAAGAACCAGAAGATGTTGACCAACCAGAGAAAAGGCAGGAAAGCAAACCCACCTAGGGAGAAAGAAAAAAAAACCACACAAACCCTAAAACCTCATAAGGCAATGAAGATCTCCAACTCCCACCCAGATCTATTTGGAAGAAACTCTCCCACACTCAAGTTCAAATGGAGATTTCTGCTGTCAGGGACTCAGGAATCTGCCTCCTCTTTGGGATCCAGCAATTTGATTCCTCAACCATCTCTTTCGCTGGACCCAAGAGTCCAGGCCCTCAATCCCCCTCCTCTCTTGGGATCCAGAAACTGAGGCCCCAGCTTCCTCATTCCTCAGGACCCAGGCCCTCCCCGCTCAAATCCAGGAGTTGGCGTTCACAGGTGCTTCATCTCTTAGACTCACGAATCCAGGCCCCGAGGCCCTCTTCCCTCGGGTGCTCTAGTCCAGTCCCCTCTCTTTTCCTGGGACCCTAGTGATCTGCCCTTACCCAGGTAGTACTTCCGGCACAGGTTCAACTTCTCCTCATTGGACACTCGCTCCAGGTTCATAGCTGCGCTGGGGCCGGGTCGTCCCAAGGGTCTGCGGGGCAAGACCCAAGCCTTGACCCTAAGTAACAGATGCAAGGATCACGAACAACCACGCCCCTATTACAACAAATCAGAGATAAATGTAAAGGTGGGTTTGCTAAAAGCAGAGCATCCCCGCCCCCACTAGCAAGCTGGCTGGATTAAAGAGCTCTTTATATTTACTAGGGTGGGCGAAACGACCCCCAACTTACCGGGAGAGCTCACTTCCTCCGGCTGGGATGCCTTAGCCACTTTCAGTTACGGACGTATGCGCGAGATGCCCCAGGTTTCCCTGGAGATTGTAGTCTTCTTTGGGCGAGGCAACACTGCACGCATGCGCCGTTGAGAGAATTCCTGCCGGGGAGTCGCGCGTCTCCCACGCGCAAGCGCCCTGGGGCGTTTCCGAGAGCTTGGTAAGCGCCTGGAGGGGGCAACGAACTACACTTCCCAGCGCTCCTAAGCAACGAAAGTGATGTAAGAGCAGCCAGAACTGGAGGGCTTGGGTAAAAATGGGTGAATATTTAGCTTCGATATTCGGAACTCAGAAGGACAAGTGAGAACGGGCGCTGGGAGTGGATTCTCGGAGGGTCGAGGCCGGGGTACTGGGGTCCTGGGTGGTGGGGCGGTGTTTCTGGGGTGTCCCGCCTCCCCAGCCCTCGGTTCACCTCTGTCTTTGCACCTCTTCCAGGGTTAACTGCTCTTTTTACTTTAAGATCGGGGCCTGCCGGCACGGAGACCGGTGCTCCCGGCTTCACAACAAGCCGACATTCAGCCAGGTGAGACCCGGCACGGACCTTCTGGAGTTAACGCCTCCTTGGCCCTTCCTCTGCTGGGGCCGTAGTCACCATGTCCCGCCTCTTCCGAGTTCCTGAGGCCCTCCCTACCGCCCGGCTTTTTTTCTGATTGGACCTTTCTGCAGGCTCCTCCCACCAGTCTTCCTGCCCGTCTCCTGGGAACTTGGTCGCGCCCCCCTGCGTACACCCTACACACCGCGGCTGTTCGTCCTTGTCAGTCCCCTCCATCCCGTTTCTGGTTTCTTAGGGGAAAAGGATCGCCGATGCACTCACCATGCTTAGGCTGGGGTGCAAGGTTCCACCCCCAACCTTCATGCCTCACTCTCTTTGCATGCAGCCCTGCCCTCTGAGCTCAGGCCCCGCCCCTTTTAAATTCTGTGCAGACCATAGTGCTGCTCAACCTGTACCGGAATCCACAGAATAGAGCCCAAACTGCAGACGGATCACACTGTGAGTAAGGGACCAGGCCTGGGGGCAAGGTGAATAGTCCCCAGTAGGCTACGCCCTGATTCCACCCTACCCCCCTCCCCCAGGTCATGTGAGCGACGTGGAGGTGCAGGAGCACTATGATAGCTTCTTCGAGGTGAGGGTTGGCGGGGGTAGGTTGGGTTTCTTGTGGGAGCTCAGCTGAGTTCCTCTCCGTCTTCCACAGGAGGTGTTCACAGAATTGCAGGAGAAGTATGGGGAGATTGAAGAGATGAATGTGTGCGACAACGTTGGGGACCACCTCGTGGGCAACGTCTATGTCAAGGTGCTTGCTGTCCCCCACTTAGGGCCCAGAGATGGAGGCATTTCAATGCCTGATGGTGGCCACTGAAGGCTCTCAGCTTGAAGTTCGTCACTAAATCCAGTCCAGCCCCACAGCTGCTAATGAGTACCCTGAAGATCTCTGAGTTCTCCTGCTGACCCCGACTGACGTTTCCTGCAGTTCCGGCGGGAAAAGGATGCAGAGTGGGCCGTGGCTGAACTCAATAACCGCTGGTTCAATGGGCAGGCTGTGCACGCTGAACTGTCTCCTGTCACTGACTTTCGGGAGTCATGCTGTCGCCAGTATGAGATGGGGTATGGTAGTTCAAGGGTGGGATGGGCACTTGGAATCCCAGACTTTGAATGTGTGGTAGGGACTGTCAGTGACAATGGCCTCCTCCATCTCTCTATGCAGGGAATGTACCCGAGGTGGCTTCTGCAACTTCATGCATCTGCGGCCCATTTCCCAGAACCTCCGGAGGCAGCTCTATGGGCGGGGACCCAGGCGCAGGTACCTCAGGACCAGCCTGCTATGTCTCCTCATGTCCTAAGGCCCCTATATCCTCAGATGAGCCTGACCCTAAGCCCTAGTAACAACGTTCCCGAGACTCTTTTTTTTTTTTTTTTTTTTTTTTTTTTTGAGATGGAGACTCGCTCTGTCGCCCGACCTGGAGTGCAGTGGCACGATCTTGGCTCACTGCAACCTCTGCCTCCCAGGTTCAAGCAATTCTCTGCCTCAGCCTCCCAAGTAGCTGGCATTACAGGTGCCTGCCACCATGCCCGTCTAATTTTTGTATTTTTAGTAGAGACGGGGTTTCACCATCTTGGCCAGGCTGGTCTGAACTCCTAACCTCGTGATCCACCTGCCTCACTCTCCCAAAGTGCTGGGATTACAGGTGTGAGCCACCACTCCTGGCTGACTCTTTTTTTTTTTTTTGGAGACGGAGTTTTGCTCTTCTTCCCTAGGCTGGAGTGCAAAGGCACGGTCTCAGCTCACTGCAACCTCTGCCTCCCAGGTTCAAGCAATTCCCCTTTCTCAGCCTTCCAAGTAGCTGGGATTACAGGTGCCCACCACCACGCCTGGCTAATTTTTGTATTTTTAGTAGAGACGGGGTTTCACCATGTAGGCCAGGCTGGTCTCGAACTCCTGACCTCAGGTAATCCACCCATCTTGGCCTCCCAAAGTGTGGGGATTACAGGCATGAGCCACCGCGCCTGGTCATTCCCAAGACTCTTACACCCTAAGAGTAGTTCTGAGCCCCATCTGGAGACCAGTACCTAAGTCCCAATCCCCAAACCAGCCTGAACCCCTAATCCATGACTAGCCTGGCCTGATACTGGCCACTGAGTACCAGTCTGATACTGGCCACTGAGTACCCCGATGCTGGCCACTGAGGCCATGTCTTAGAACTCTAGTTATTTCAGCACCCTCCTGCCTCATCCCAGAGCAGAGAGGCAGGCCTGCAGGATCTCTGCACCACTCCCCAGCATTCTAACCTAACTCTCAACACTCCTATTCCTGGGTCACCCCCAAGGTTCCATACTAGCCACTGTCCCCGAGAGGGGAACCGTCGGCGTTCCCCTGATCACCGGCATGGCCTCTTCTGAGGCCCTGGCCCCCTTACCCTCTTACCCTTCACCCCGGACAGGGACAAATATTTCTGGCAGGACCTCTCCTCAAAGCCCCCTTCACTCTCCTGGCCCATCTTTCCCAGGCTCCCGGGCTCCATAATGTAATCTGTTCAGCATGGAGACTTTCTTCTACCGCCCTTGTCTTAATAAAGCTCCGTGTTTTGCTTCGGTATCAACTTGCTTTTGCTGTGGTTTGGCATTTCCCTCCACCCACACATGTGACGAAAAGGGGAAACAAGACTGGGTCCCGGCCACAACTTCAGCTGAGGAACTTGGCACGGGCAGCTTGGGACCCAGGACCCTAACGGTACTGGTAGGGTGGGGACACCTTTGTGCTGAAAACCTTAGCACCTCCATCTGAGGCTTATTCAAGGGGGAGAGACCTGGTTGTGGCAGGTGGGAGGAGTCCTAGCCCCAAGGAGATGAGGATTGGAAGGTGAGGTGAGGTGAGGTGCTGGGAGGTGGTCTCAGTCAGTACAGGGCTGTCTCCTCCGTCCCTGCCAAATTGAGATGGGAGTAATGCCTTACACTTAAACATTGAGTTTACTATATGTGAGGTGCTATTTCCAGCACTTTAGCTTGTTTGTTTTGTTTTTTTTAAAGAGTTTCACTCTTGGCCGGGCTCAGTGGCTCAAGCCTGTAATCCCAGCACTTTGGGAGGCCGAGACGGGCGGATCACGAGGTCAGGAGATCGAGACCATCCTGGCTAACATAGTGAAACCCCGTCTCTACTAAAAAATACATAAAACTAGCCAGGCGAGGTGGCGGGCGCCTGCTAGTTCCAGCTATCAGAGGCTGAGGCAGGAGAATGGCATAAACCCGGGAGGCAGAGCTTGCAGTGAGCTAAGATCCGGCCACTGCACTCCAGCCGGGGGGAAAGGGGAAGTCCCTTTTTAAAAAAAAAAAAAAAAAAAAAAAAGTTTCACTCTTGTTGCCCAGGCTGGAGTGCAATGGCACAATTTCAGCTCACTGCAGCCTCCACCTCCCAGATTCAAGCAATTCTCCTGCCTCAGACTCCCAAGTAGCTGGGATTTACAGGCATGCGCTATCATGCCCAGCTAATTTTGTATTTTTAATAGAAACAGCATTTCACCATGTAGGTCAGGCTGGTTTTGAACTACTGACTTCAGGTGATCCACCCACCTTGGCCTCCCAAAGTGTTGGGATTACAGGCGTGAGCCACTGCGCCCGGCAGCCAGTTTTTTTGGTTTTGTTTTTAGAGATGAGGTCTTACTGTGTTGTCCAGGCTGGTCTATAATTCGTGGCTCAAGCAATCCTCCCACCTAGCAGGGACTACAGATGTGAGCCACTGCACTTGGCAAAGTGCTTTGCCTTTTTTTTTTTTTTTTTTTTTTTTTTTTTTTTTTTTTTTTTTTTTCTGAGACAGAGTCTCACTCTGTTGCCCAGACTGGAGTGCAGAACTCCTGGGCTCAAGTGGTCCTCCTGTCTTGGCCTCCTGAAGTGTTGGGTTTACAGGCATGAGCCACCGCACCCAGCCCCTGCTTTACTTCTAATAACGGTTCTAATTCTCCACAATAACCCTATGAGACAGGTGCTATTATTGTCTCATTTTAGGGATGGAAAAGGGAAGGTGGGTGGGTGAGGAAATGGCAGAGGTGGGATATGTATTCTTACAATCTAGATCCGCAGTGCTCTCTCTTAGTCCCCTTTTGGCTTTGTGGGCTTCTCTGATAACCGGCTCAGTTGGGGGATGGGGACTCGAGGGTAGATTCCCGGCTTCCGAAGAGGCGTGGGAATTCTGTTCCCCCACATCACCGCGTCCTTTCTTCTGCCCGGTTTCCCCGGAAAGTGTGGCAGAGGCGCTGTGTTTGGAGGTTCCGCTATCACGGCCCCCGAGATGGGGCCTGGACGATGCCTCCTGACAGCCTTGCTGCTTCTGGCTCTGGCGTCACTGCCGGAAGCCTCCCAGTACTGCGGCCGCCTTGAATACTGGAACCCAGACAACGAGTGCTGCAGCAGCTGCCTGCAGCGCTTCGGGCCGCCCCCCTGCCCGGGTGAGAATCCGAGACCCAGCCTTGCTTGGGCGGAGCTTGCAGGTGATAGGGAGCGGGGAAGGGGTGAGGTCTGTGGGCTACGGGCCAGAGAGTCTTGCTTAGGGGTCTAAGCGGTGGGCCTTATGTAGATCACACAGGGATGGCAGGCAGAGCCTGTGCAGATAGTGCGGGCTACCGTAGGGCAACAGCGAAGGGATATGGCTGGAGTGGCGGGATAGGGGCCCGGTGGAAAGGGTGGGCTTTATGTAGATAAATCGGGGGTGAGCGGAGCTCCGAGCCGAGCAGGCGGGGAATGAAAAGGCGAGCCCGGAGAAAAGTGACAGGAGCGGAGCGCACGCTGATAGGCTGGGAGCGCCCTGGAGGGGCTGGGCACGCTGGGATAGGGCGAAGGGAGAGGGCGTTGCCTGAGCAGGGGCGGGCTAGACGGCAGCGCTGGAGAGCAGCTTTCCCGCTAGACTATGAGTTCCGGGAAAACTGCGGGCTCAATGACCACGGCGATTTCGTAACGCTCCCGTTCCGAGAGTGTTCTTCTGGGCAGTGCAACCCCGACGGTGCGGAGCTATGTAGCCCCTGCGGCGGCGGAGCCGTGACCCCTACTCCCGCCGCGGGCGGGGGCAGAACCCTGAGGCGCTGCAGAGAGGTGCGGATGGGACTCCCGGCCGGGCAAGGGCGTGCCGGAGGTGGGGGGCCTAGATGTAGGGAGCGGGCGTAGCCCCACGTAAGGGGTGGGGCCGTGGTTTCGGGAGGTGACTGGCCTGCAGGGGTCGGGAGCTCCTAGGTTAAGGTAGTTGGGCCTTGCGGGGCCCAACTACCTTATCAGGTACCGTATCAGATGGGATGTGGCCCCGTTAAAGGGTATAAAGATGGAAGGTTTGGGAGCGGGCAGGAGTGGAGTGTGGCCTCCAGCTTTACTCCAACCCCTTATGCCCAGAGGCCGGTCCCTGCCAAGAGGCCCTGCCCCCTCACAACTGGAAACCCAGGCGGCCCTAGCTCCCAGGAGCGCAGCTCACCAGCAAGTTCCATTGCCTGGAGGACCCCTGAGCCCATCCCTCAGCAGGCCTTGCCGACTTTCCTCCCGCTGTTGATGCTGGTCCTGCTCCTGACCTTGGCGGTGATAGCGATCCTCCTATTCATTCTGCTCTGGCACCTCTGCCGGCCCAAGGAGAAGGCCGACCCCTATCCCTATCCTGGCTTGGTCTGCGGAGTCACCAACACCCACGCCCCTTCCTCCTCGCATCTGTCCTCCCCAGGCGCCCTGGAGACAGGGGACACATGGAAGGCCTCTCTACTTCCACTCCTGAGCAGGGGTTAGTCCTGGAGGAGCCCCGGGGCGGGGAAGGTGGACTGGACGCCCACCCTTCCTCCCCTTTACCCTTCCCCTTTCTTCCAGAACTGCCCGGTCTGGGGTCACAGCCCCTGTCTCGCCTCCTGGATGAGCTGGAGGTGCTGGAAGAGCTGATTGTACTGCTGGACCCTGAGCCTGGGCCAGGTGGGGGCATGGCCCATGGCACTACTCGACACCTGGCCGCGAGATATGGGCTGCCTGCCGCCTGGTCCACCTTTGCCTATTCGCTGCGGCCGAGTCGCTCGCCGCTGCGGGCTCTGATTGAGATGGTGGTGGCAAGGGAGCCCTCTGCCTCTCTGGGCCAGCTTGGCACACACCTCGCCCAGCTAGGACGGGCAGATGCATTGCGGGTGCTGTCCAAGCTTGGCTGATCTGGGGTTTGTTGGGCTTAACATTCAATAAAGAACTTTGTTGACTACTAAGCCCAGTATACAATTAGCATTGAAGTACTTCTTGAAGTACAATCCTAATTAGGCAAAGACCCAACAGCTATCCTCACTGCTCTTTGCCCTAGAAGGGCCTATTCTAACATACATACAGGGCCACATGTGGGAGGGCTGACCCCAGGTGCCTCTGGGCCACCAGAATCCCCTCTGGGCAACAGCCCTGCTACAGACACTGTGTTCTGTGTTGTTCTGAAGCCGTAACAGACCCCACGACTGACTTCTACTTCTCAATGATGGCCTCACCTATCTGTTGAGGCTGATGAACTTCCTTGGCTTATGATGGGTGGGTGTGTAGAAGTGGGGTTCCTACCTGCCCCCATACCCTACAAATGGGAAGACCACCTCTCCAAACATTGACAGACTTTATTGTGGGGGGGTTCCCACCTGGGACCCCACCTCTTAAATAAAAAAGTGCATAGAAAAGAAGGGATTTAGAAACTTTTGTACAATATCTACATCCTGGGCCCCCAGGGCAGAAAGGGGGCGATTGCTGGGTGGGCTGGAGGGGTGGAGGCAGGGCCCTTGTCGCCTGCATGCCCACATCCACCCTGAACATGAGGATGGGGGTGAGATGCTCTGGGAGGGGCTGGGGGGCCCCCAGGCTAGGGGCAAGATGGCAGCGACGGCAGCAGGAGGTGTGAGGGGTCGTGGTGGGCAACCACGGCCTCAGTTAAGGAACCGACGGCAGCGCTTGGCGCCACAGTTGCAGGGCAGCTTGTTGCTGGCATCCTCGATGGGGAACTTGTAGTCGTAGGTGAGCTCCTCACCACGCAGGATGCGGCGCAGGGCGAAGATGACAATGTGTTTCTGGCCCTCCACATGGATGACCCGAGAGAAGCAGTTGGGCTCACAAGAGTGGTTGATGAAGCGGGCGGCATTGCCATGCATCGTGGCGTCCACTACATCAAAGTCATCCATGCGGAACATATAGCACCCGATGCCCTGCGGGGATGAGGTGGGAAGATCAGGTGCTCTGTCCCTGTGGACAGGCTCGCTTCACCCACTGTCTTCCCACGGCCACTGGGAGCCCACCTTCCCATCGTAGAACTTCTCCCGCTTGTCAGTCAGCACGGAGCGGATGACGATGCCGGAGTACTCGATGACCATCTCCCCTGCATCAATGTTGCGCTTACAGAACAGGCCTCGCCCGTGGATGGCTGATCTGCAGGGCAGGACAAACAGGGAACTCAGGGGGCAGGGGGACAGAAACCAGGCGGTACCCCCTACCCAGTGCACCTGTCCGTCCACCCAAGGGGCATCCTCCCCCCCAACCCCACTCACCTGTAGACACCCACAGCTTCTTTGGACGTCTTCTTAAGGTGACGAAAGCGCATGGCCATGGGCAGCTCCAGGCTGGTGGCACGTCTGGTGAGGGACAGCAGGGTCACCCAGGCTGGTGCTCAGAAAGACCTCTCTCACCCGTGCTCACTCTCTAAGACCCTTCCAGACCACCACCTGCCCCCCAGCTCACACTCCATACCTGGTTGACCTAAGCTGCACCTCATCCTCTTCCTCGTCACAGGTGGCCCCCTCAGGGAGCACCCGGTGCTGGGAGGCCAGGAAGTTGAACATGTCAAAGGTGCACTTCCTGCAGGTGGGAGCAGGGGAAGGAGGAATATACTATTGAAGACAGGGCTATCGGAAATGGGTGGGGTTCGTTCTTATGTCAGCTCTAGAAATAACTCTTCTTTAAATTTTTATTTTACAGATGCGGTTTTGCCATGTTGCCCACGCTGGTCTCGAACCCTGGGCTCATGTGATCCTCCTGCCTCAGCCTCCCAAAGTGGTGGGATTACAGGCGTGAGCCACTGAGCATGGCCAACTCTAGAAATAACTCTTGAAGTGACCTAGTGTCTCCTCCCCAGGCCTGTTTCCAACCTCCACATATATATATAAATATATAGTATATATACAGTATATAAATATGTAACTACACAGTTAACTCCCACCCTCAAGAGCTCTCATAGGAGCATCCTGACCCAGGCATCACACCCTAGACCTCTCACCGGAGATAGACCTCTGCCCGAGCAGCCCCATGGGGATTCAGGGGCGGCTCCTCCTGGCCCTCTCCCTGCTGGTGGTAACGGAACTTATAGTGCTGGCAACGCTGGGCTCCGGGAAGCTGCTCGGCCAGGAAGATGACAGCATCGTGGTGGATGCCCAGGAGTCTCGCCCCACTCATTCCTGAGAGGAGATGTTGAGGACATACCTGTCATGTGGAGGGCCCATGGTGCCCTCAGGGAGACATCCAGCCCCCAGCCCCCTGCGGGGCCCACTCCTTACCACTAAAGGAGAGATGTCTGAGTCGGGCATGCCCTCGGGCCTCTTGCACTTTCTCGATCAGAGTTCTCCACGCCCCTGGGGAGACAGCAGAGCCAGGGCTGAGTCAGGATGGTGTTTTATGGACACTCTCCCTCCTGCCACTGCACCCCCCAAACTCACCCTCCAAGCTCTCTGCCTCCACGCTGAACCCATCCTCACTGCTGATCTCGAAGCGCAGATGTGGGCCAGTCCGTTTCGGGGCCTGGTTCTCTTTATCATCTGGGGATGGAGGCTCTTCCTCAGAGCTTGAAGCCTCACCTGGTCCCAAGAAGCAGGCTGGAGTGAAGATCACCTTTCCTGGACTCAAAAGCCCCTGAGCCCCGCTGTGCTCCCAGCAGACACCACTCTCTCCACCCCTAGGCGCAGACACAGATACTAGGGTCTAATGGCCCTCCTTCTGCTCCAATTACCCAGTGTGCGCTGCAGAATGAACATTTCTTCCCCTAAGGAGCCTGCGGCTCTTCTGCAGGACTTCTCAGGTACAAGAGCGTTCCACGGAGGCTTGGGGCCTTTTGGCAGGACACGCCTAGGGCTCACTTAAACCCAATGTCCCATACATCCCATCTACCTGTCATCATTCTGTTTCTCACACAAAATTTAAAATACCAGAGAATTATATTTTGCACGTCTTTTTTTAGATGCAGCAAATTTCTGTAACTATTACAAATATATAATTATCATTTTTTGAGACAGTCTCGTTCTGTCGCCCAGGCTAGAATGCAATGGCGCGATCTCGGCTCACTGCAACCTCTGCCTCTCAGATTCAAGCAATTCTCATGCCTCAGCCTCCTGAGTAGCTAAGATTACAGGCGCCCACCACCACACCTGGCTAATTTTTGTATTTTTAGTATAGATGGGGTTTCACCATGTTGGCCAGGCTGACCTCAGGTGATCTACCTGCCTTGGCCTCCCAAAGTGCTGGGATTATAGGCGTGAGCCACTGCGCCCAGCTACAAATATATTATTATATAGGCTCACATGCACAGAGCCAAGTACACTGTATGTTATAAGCTATTTCGTGGATTTCTCGAGGGTTAACAGATTAAACAGGGCAGATGGGACATGCTGACGTGGTAGATGTGGATGTGAAGAAGCGGGTTGGGGGTCAGGACAACGCTGGGCCTGAACACCTGGAAGGATAAAACTGCCATGGACTGATAGCGAAGGTGAAAGAAGAATGGGTTTGGCGTGCAGGTGGAGGGCTCAGTTTGGGACAGGCTGACTTTGAGAGGCCTCTTAGAAACCTCCCCCTGCAACCTGCTGGTGGAGATGGTGGGCAGGCAGCAGGACGGGATGGAGGAGGCCACAGTTCAGGGACAGGGTCTAGGCTGGAGAGAGCAATGTGGAGACAATCAGAACACAGACAATACAGCCACCAAGCTGGAAGGGAGCCCCTGGGAGTGAGCATACAGAGAAGTCAAGGCCAGGGCCCCCGCACACATCTTGACTGACAGCCGTGGGCAAGAAGGCAGGACCAGAGGTGAGAGCAGAAGCAGCCTTGGAAGCCACGGAAGACAATGCTTCAAGGCGGGAGGGATCTGCTGTACAAAACGCTGCTGCTGCTCAAGCAGATGTGGGCTGGGGACTGACCACTGGGAGTTGGGGGCACAAAAGCTTGAGTGGAACAGGCCTTAGGAGAGGCAAAACCCACATGGCCACACTCTCCCGATGTCACCTCTCCAGGCCACCCTGCCCCACCTCCCCCGCCCCAAGGGAGACTCTAAAGCAACACTCCTGCCGTGTAACTCCCGTCCTTTCCAGGCCTCAGTGCCCCAGAGTCCCCTGTCCCCCAACCCTCACCTCCACTGTTTCCCGAACACGGCAGGACTGACCACAGGACCCTGGCAGGTGCTCTCACTGCTCGCTTTCTCAGTGCCCACTCTAACCTGCCCTTGCTAACGTGTCTGTGTCCTGCACCAAAATGTGGTCTGGTCCCTGAGGACAGGGACCTCCCAAGGCCACTGCCATATTCTCATGTCATCTTTGAGACATAAGCAGCCTCTGAGTTAAGCAGTCTCAATCCACGTCACTCTGCTTCCCGCTCAGCAACTGAGCTCTGTGTCACGAGAAAATCCAAACATCTGGACAGGATTGGGCCACCACAAAATCCCAGCCTCAGGCTGCTTGACCACCAGCTTACCTGGCTGCAGCCATTCCCCCCACCACTGCCCTAAAGGACCAACAGAAAACTCCCCCCAGCTTCAAGCAGTCTACCAGCCACGCCTTCTCCAGGGGTCTCCACCTCTACCTATTACAGTTTCTGCATAAACACCTGCTTCCCCTCCTCTCCTTTACCTCAGAGGTCACCAATTCAAAACCGGCCACCAGGCCTCTTCCCACTGGCTTTTCCATCCCAGCCTGCCCTTCCCCGCCATCCATGCCTCCGCTGTCTCGGCCCTCACACCAAGCACCTCCACGCTACTGGCCCACCTCCCACTCACCATCCTTAGCTGAACTCTGGCCAGGTGCCTGGGCCGTTTTTTTTTTTTTTTTTTTTTTGAGACGGAGTCTCGCTCTGTCGCCCAGGCTGGAGTGCAGTGGCCCGGATCTCAGCTCACTGCCAAGCTCCGCCCTCCCGGGTTCACGCCATTCTCCTGCCTCAGCCTCCCGAGTAGCTGGGACTACAGGCCCCCGCCACCTCGCCGGCTAGTTTTTTTTGTATTTTTTTTTTTTTTTTTAGTAGAGACGGGGTTTCTCACCGTGGTTAGCCCAGGATGGTCTCGATCTGACCTCGTGATCCGCCCGTCTCGGCCTCCCAAAGTGCTGGGATTACAGGCTTGAGCCACCGCGCCCGGCCGCCTGGGCTGTTTTGCCTTCCTCAACCATGGTCTCAATTCTGGACTCTGACACAACATCCCACCCTGTGCCACCTGCTCTCACTGGACACCAACCCTAGACTCCACAGGCCTGGCAGTCTCTGTGGCAGCTGAGATGTGATGACTCCTTTCCCCAGGCCTCTGGGACACCAGTCTTCTGATCTTCCCACTGTCCCTGACCATCATCTGGGTGCTAGGTGGGTTGCATTCTCTCTGGATGATCCTAGAACTTCACCTTTGGCTACTCTACGAAGCTAACTCTCAGCCCTTGGCAGGCTAGGCTCTGAGGCCCTCCCCTGGGCTCTTGGGCATGCTGGACAAAGACCTTTAAGAGGATCCCACAGAGCTGAAATATCATGTCCATGTCTGTTTCTCCCACAAGGCCAGAGACTCTAACTCTAGCACTGAGGCTCAGGCTTGGCCCCCAGGAGTAGATACTGGTTTTCAAAGCAGACTGATTCTGCATCGGTGAGTCACCCAGCTGAGCCAAGCACAGGCAAGGAGCGAGAGAGAGGGCAAGGCCGGTCCCTACCTGAATAGTGGTGCCACTGGGACTCAAGCAGCAGGTCTGGGGGACCATCGGTGACTTGGGGAGGACCACCTTCCAGAAGTGGCAGCAAAGGGGACCGTTCCTGGAGGAGCCTGCGAGAAGAGACCTGTCAGGAAGGGGAAGGACAGAGGTCCCAGACCCTCCAGGGAGAGAGGCCTGGTCACTCACCCAGGACTTTCTTCCCCAGCGGGCTCCCCAGGCCGATCCAGGTCAAGGACCCCGCGCACTGTGGGGGTTTTCATCCTCACACGGCTAAACCTGGGAGGGCGAGCCCGAGAAGGATGAGCCGTATCTCCCACCCATCCGCCCCCTTGCCTGCTCTGCCAGTCTCAGCACCCACACTCACCCGCCACTGCCAAGCCCCAGAACCTGGGGGATGTCCTCCGAGGCCTCTCCATCTTCATCCAGTCGCGGGGCTTTGTATGGGGGAGGTGCTGGCGGGGACCGGCCAGAGAAAGTGGACACCCTCTTGACGCGGATGGCCTGACGGGGTGGGCTGGCTGGCCCACTGCTCAGCACCAGCGTCAGGGGAGGGGGCGGTGGGGGCGGGGCAGGGCGGACCACCCCGACCACGGGCAGCACGCCGAGGAGGGGGCCTGGGGGCAGAGTCCAGGAGGTGGGAGCTGTTGGGGAAATGGTGGGGGGCAACGGTGGCTGCTTCACTGGGGGTGGGACAGGTTCACCCTCCCCAGCCATCTTCACAAATACTTGCCCCAGCTTGTTGACAAGGATAATTTTGGATGTGGCAGGTTTGGGGGGCTCAGGGGCAGGGCCAAGGCTTAACACCCGGACCCCCGGGGCCCCTGGGAGCCAGGCAAATGTGCGGGTGGGGTCAGCTGGACTGGCAGGCAGACCCTGGGGGGGCTGGCTGCCATTAGCCAGGGGAGGCGCCGGGGGGAGCGACTCCTCTCTAGGGCCAGCACCTCCCTCCCCAGGCCCCCCTAGGTTCTTCAACACAAAATCCACAATTTCTGATGGCAGGTCCTCAGGAGGCCGGGCCCTGTCCCCTGCAGCCCCGAGGACCCCTGCCCGGCCTACTCCTGGCCCTGGAGGAGTGCCCTGGCCCCGAGGCTGCTGCACCGCCTCGGCCTCGCTGTCAGTGCCGTCGTCCACGCCGTCCAGCTGTTCAATGCGGGGGGCTCCAGGGGGGGCGCTGGGGGCCAGGCCAGGGGCGGACACCACAGTCACAGGGAAGTGGATGTAGCGGGAGGTGGGGCTGGCTTCCTCCTCGGAGCTGTCCCCTGGGCCCCCGTGGCTGCTCCCCATGGCCCCAGCGGCTACAATCTCTTCCTGGAAGGGCTCAGTCCCCAGCAGGCTGGCCGCGAAGTCCAGGTCAGCAGCACTCAGTCCTGACACCACCTCCATGTCCTCGAAGTCTGGGCCCAGGTCTTCAGGGGGTGGTGGAGATGGGGCCGGGCCAGGGGGAGCCAGCTCCCCTGAGGTAGGTGTGAGGGCTGTGACGACTGAGGTAGGAGGGGGCACCCTGAGCTGAGGGGAGGTTTTGAGAGGAGGGGAGGCCCGCCGTGATGGAGGCGGCCGGGGGGCCAAAGGGCTGGGACGACGGGAGCGTCTGGGGGGAGCTGGGAAGTCCGGGTCTCCCACTGTGGGGATGTGGTGGGTCAGCGAAGATGGACTTCCTGTGGGGGGAGGGTCGGTGTTACCAGCAGCTCCCACCTCCCCAGCTCCAACCCCAACCCCCACATGCCCAGTGCTCACCAGGGGAGGGCAGGGGGCCAAAGGAGACACCCCCCAAGGGCCTCCGGGACGGCGAGTAGTTGGGCACTTTGATTCGAGCCCCCGAGAAGGAACGGGGGGCTGGAGGAGGGGCGCTGCTTGAATCTGGCCGCAGTGGGGGGTCCAGGTTCTGAATGGGCGAGTGGCGCTCAGGAGCTCCAGGGACAAGGACATCTGTGTCCAGTGGGGGGTCCTCACCACCTGGGGGCTCTGAAGAGGCGAGAAACGGCATTGGGGTGGTAGGGGGTCTGCGCCAAAGCCTGCCCACATGCCCTCCTGCCCTCCTCCTGAGCCACTGTACCTCCCAAGTCCCCGACCCTGACCCAGTCACAACAGGCCCCAGTTTCCAGCGATCACCCAGGCCACGCCCAACGTGGAGTCCACAAAACCCGCACACACCTGGGCCAGGGACCCTTCAGGGCCTCTCCCCACTCGCTCCTTGCCATCTCCTCTCTGCTGCAGGCTTTGCATGCCATGGAGATATGCCCTCTTTCCAGCATGGCCAGTCCTACCCCTTTGTTACCTGCCTGGTGCATCCCCGCCACATCAGAGGCCCCCGCCCACCCCGGCCCGGAGGTTCTCCATTACCTGGCTCCACCCAACCTCTGCAAACTGATTCCCTCCTCCACCCAACACGCCCTCGTTTCCAGACGGGATGGGTGTACCCTCCTCCTCTGTCCACTTCTTGTCATGCTCCAAACTGGAATTAAGCCCTTCCTACCATCCAAATCTCTTCCGCCTCCTGCTCTGCCCACAACAAACTCTTCCCCATTTCCAAGCCCATTCTTTGCCCTGTGCCATCCAGCTCTCAGCTACACCCCACCACCAGCATGGCTGGAAGGGGGCTGGTTTGGGAGCTGAGCAGATCCAGGTCCAATTCCACCTCCCCCACCATGTTACTGTGTTTAGCCACTGTCCCCTTTGAGGTGTAGTATGGCAACACTGGGGAGCATTACCTGAGCACAGAGCCCCAAGTTAGGGAGCTATAAGCGCTCTGCTCCCTGCAGTCGCCCAAGAGCCAGCACCCGACTCCAGCAGACAGCGTGCCACTCTCCCCACCTCACTTCCCATGAAAAGCCGGGCACAGCCCCTGGCACGCAAGGCATGGCAGTAAGCGAGCTGCCGTTACGTTACAGCAACTGAAGCAAGAGCAAACCTCCTAGAGTTTACAAAAGGGAGCGGGGAACAGAGATCTGTAGGTTTGTTTAGGGAGAGCGGCATTCAGGAAGAAGACAGAGCCAATGCCACACCTGAGGAAGGGGCGGGGCTGTGCACAATGGTCTGGTTCTCCTCTGCAGCCTCCAGGTGAGCTGGCTCTTCCCGAGGCCCCCACGGCCGATACTCCAGAATTCGGCACCGATACCAGCAGCGCCTCCGAGCATCCACCGTGCTCCAGTACAGACGGGAGCACCTGACGTGTGGGACAAGATGGTTAGGATGCTTGGGCAATGGGATCCAGCTATGGAGTCCCCTGGCCCCACGGATCACCCCAACCGCTCACTGGTAGCCAATGGGGAAGAGCCGTCCCTCGCAGTCCGAGAGATCAGACAGAGTACCCAGGGAGTCAATGCGGATGGAGCCTGTGGTGCAAAGTGGAGGTCAGGAAAGGCAGGCAGGCCAGGGCAGGAGGACAGGGCAGAGAATAGGCAGCTTACCAATGAGCACATTGATGGCGTCAGGTTCAAGCCCTGTCAAGAACTTCCGCTTGAAGTTGATGCCCTCGAAGTCCACATAGACTCGGCGGAGAACATCAAAACCATCGGGGTTCACGATTTCCTGGAAGAGGGGGTGGCAAAGTGAGGTGGCTGAATTGGTAGAGGAGGTGGATACCAGGGATAACTTGATAGGTGAAGTCTGAGTAGTCAGGGGCTTGGCCTAAAGGCCTCTGGGAAAACAGATCAGGAGACACTGAGAGGCAATAAGGCCAGGCCTGGGGGCCACGGGGGTCCCTAAGTGAACAGGAAGATAGGTGGGGAAGGAGCTGTGTGCCCCACAATTCTGGCCCACCTTGCCATCTAGGAGATCAGTGTGTTTCTGACAGAAGACTTTCTTGTCGTCCTGGAAGATGCAGTAGCTGGCCCGGGCACACATGAAGTGGAAGTTGCTGAGGCAGGAGGACAGGCAGCAGCCCACCGTGGCACCAGGCTTCAGGCAGAGCTCGCAGCGCTGCGTAGGGGAGGGCGGCTCAGGGGAGAAGCCAGGGCTGGGGACAGGCGCCAGGCACCACTGCCACTGAGTCTGCACGGGTCCCTGTCTAGCCTGGCACGGCACAGGCTCTCCCCAGGCGCAGCCTCTCCCCAGCTGCATCCACGCCCAGGTGCACACCAAACTCTCTCTGGTTCTTTGAAGCGAGAATGACAACAGCTAATGCTTGCTGATGGCACTGACCATCTTTGTCACACTGTTTTCAAGTAGAGGTTGTGTTATTCTCATCCTCACAGATACCCCTGCAGTGGGAATCTCTACCACCCCATTGCCCAAGAGCGCTTGAGGTCTCTCTGTACCTGGCCCAGGCACCACTCTGAGGAGTGGGGGAATTCTAACCTCACGGGGATGTATTGAGAGCTCAACGCCACCCAGCATGGAAAGCATGCAGCCCAGGTTCAATCAATGGGCACTCTTCTCACTTTTAGACTCCCAGGCTTCAGGCCCAGATTATGGCCAGAGGGCCCACATAAGAAAAAGCTGCCATCAGCACCAACGTCCCAGGGCAACCGAGACCTCAGCCTGGCAGTGAAAGGATGCCAGGTAGGGAATGTGAAGTAACAGCTGTCTGCACCAGAGGAGGCCTCCCCAAGAGCCAGAGGGCTGCCCACCTCTCTGGGCCCGCGCCCTCACCATCTGCCTCCCTCGGGCCACAGCAGCATGCACATTCTTGAGGGAACCGTCGTTCTCCTCGAAGACTTCTGCCGACCAGATAGCACAGTTGACATGTGTCCACTCATTCTGCCCGATGTACAGGAGCCGCCCCGCCTCCTGGGGCAGAAGAGGAGTAGCATGATGTGGGGCGCCAGGGACCAGGCCCCACAACCTGGTGTGTCACAGAGCAGCCCTCACCTTGGAGTCTGCATCCCCGTATTTGAGACAGAGTGCACACTGACGGGGGTCCTCCAGGTGTGAGAAGGCAGCCGGATCCTTGCCCTGGAATGCTAGAGAGGAAACGTGAAGGGAGGTCTAAGAATCAGGACCTGGAGCCAGGCCACCAACACAGGGCCCTGGCTTCTGGACCCCCACTTCCCAGTACCTGCTGAGGGATCCCCTGGAGGCTGCCCTGATTCTGGGGTCTCTGGTTCCTGCTGTCTCCACTGCGCATAGACATGATCCAGGGATGGGGGCAACACCGCGTTGGGAAGGACTCCGCTGTGGACAGACAGGGTTAGCAGCTGATGCGCCCAACAAGAGCGGCTGAATGGGGGCCCATCCACAAACCAGCCTCAACTTGCCATGACACCCACTGCTCCCTCTCCACGTGGAACTTCTCTCAGTTCACTAAATAAGCCAGGCCCTCTTGTGGCACCTTGGACATGTGGAATGCTGCTCCTCACGCCTGGAATACTTTCTCCCCAGCTCTGCTCCAATGTCATCTCTTTCAGGAAGGCTTCCCTGACACCTCAGCTCCAGAAGGTACCACCTCTGGGTCCCCACTGCCCCCTGGTATTCTCCATCACTGCCCTGACCATCTGGGTCTTCAGTGCCTGCCCGACCCCACAGTGAGCTCTTTAAGAAGAGCCCAATTTGACTCACTCACTGCTTTGTACCCAGCATTGCCCTGCACAAAGCAGAAACAAAGCTTTGCTAGTCTAGCACCACCAGGGAATCTCACCCGGGTTCCACCACCCTCCTCTCCAGCTCCGCTCCAGACCCTACCTCTGCTCATCTCTTCTTAGCCCAGCGTGGCCCCTGCATGCCCTGGCCTTGCCCTAACTCCCCGGCTTCCCTCCTGCTACCCCGCCTTGCTCACTTTGGCAGCCGGGTACTCCGTCGCCAGTACTTGGGGTCGTGGGCGTCGAACCAGCCGAACGCAGATTCTAGCAGCTGGAGAGTGGGTTAACAGGATGAGAAGAGCCGGCTTCCCCAGGAGAGCTGGCAGGGGCAGGGTCTGAAGGGCCCACTCCCCCACCCCACAGGCGTCCCCGGAAGAGCTCACCTTCAGCAGGAGCCCCTTCATCTGGCCTCCAGCCCGGCGCTCTGGGGTCTCTCCCTCCTCTGAGTGCCGCATGAGGATGCCCACCATGTCCTCCATAAAGCTGTGCTGTAAGGGGGTTTGTCAGAGACTGAGTCACCTCTGCGCAACCCCAGCCTCCTGGCACCCATCTGCTCCTTCTGGTGTCCCACTCACCACAGACTTGTAGTGGCCATCCTCGAAGCGCTGACTCACAGCTTGCAGGCCGCAGGGTCCTGGGTGCAGCTGCTTCCCATCCGGCCCACACTGCAAAGCGGGGAAGTTAGCAGGGCTGGGGGTGGGCCTGGCCCCACCCCATCCTGCCTCCAGGGCCCTCCAGACCTGGGTGCAGAGCAGCAGTGGGCCCGCCACCTTGGAGCTCAGCAGGCCCTGGAGCACCTGGCGCAGGCCCCCCTGGAGGGCCCCGCTCAGGGCCTCTCGCCAGCGGGGCTGTGCTGCCCCAGCACACGGTCCGCAGGTGTAGAGCACCGAGTCTGGCAGTCCTGAAAGGATCTCGTAGTCTTCATCTAGGACAGCCGAGTGGGAAAGGGAAAAGTGGTTTCAGAGGATATGAGGGCTCCCAGCAGCCTCTAGGCCAGCAAGGATCCTTAGCCCCCCTGTCCTCTTGGGGCCTGTGGTGGGGGTAGGGGCCCCCACAGGGTTGAGGCTGCAGCCCAGGTGCTCCACTGACTCACCTGAGAGCCCCTCGCACTTGGCATGTACCCAGTGATCACACTGTGCGCACTGCATCATCTTGCTCTCGTAGTCGTTGTCTTCATAGCAGCGTGTGCAGATCGGACAGTAGTTTCCTGGAGGAAAAGAGAAGGAGTCAGAGGTGCTGGGGTTCCCACTCAGCCCTGAGCATCTCTGCTCAGGGATTAGCTGTACCTTAGCTGTCTCTGTTATGCCCCTGCTTTGAGTCCCTACCAGTCCCTAAAAGCTGCTTGAGGATGAGTTTTTTTTTGTTTTTTTTTGTTTTTTTGAGACAGAGTCTTGCTCTGTCACCCAGGCTGGAGTGCAGTGGCGAGATCTCGGCTCACTGCAACCTCCACCTCCCAGGTTCAAGAAATTCTCCTGCCTCAGCCTCCCAAGTAGCTGAGATTACAGGTAACCACCATCATGCCTGGCTAATTTTTGTATTTTTAGTACAGATGGGGTTTCACCACATTGGCCAGGCTGATCTCGAACTCCTGACCTCAGGTGATCCACCTGCCTTGGCCTTCCAAGCCACTGTGCTCGGCCTTAGAATGAGACCTCTTTTCAGACTCTGCAGAACACAGGGCCTTGCAGATGTACTGCCTGAATAAGGCTTCCAAACTGCTCAGTGGAGACGTGAGGTTCCAGGAAGTACCTCAGACACCAAGATAGTGGGGTCCCAGGCCTTCCACTCCCACCACCCTCAGAGGGGCTATGTGTCCCTGTTTTACATACTGGATGGACTCCTGTGGAAGAGTTCCCTGAGTTGAAGCGATAGTCCCATAGCTAGAAGGTGGAAAGCCATGAGAAAAGAGGGTCTGTGCTAAAGCCTGTAAAGGAGCCTGGCCATTCCCCTGTGGCCCCCAGTGTCCAGTTCCCCTGCCCGGTCCCCACCTTTCTCATATAGCTGGGTGCACCTGGGGCAGAGGCTGTAATCTCCAGACCACTCGACGTCCCAGTTCTTGCCTGGAGTTGCCCCACAGCTCTTACAGCGCACACAGGCTGAACAGATCTGGGGGAGCAGGGCGATGTTAGGGGAAAGCCAGACACTGGGCTGGAGCTACATGAGCGGGAGACGGGAGAGGAGGAGTTGGGGATATGCAGGAAGCAGGCAAGGAGGGATAGGTAAGAGGAGAAGACACACAGGACAGACACTGAGGAGGAACAGGAGGAGGGCAGGAGTGGACATCAGGCTAGAGCAGGGGATTCTGAGCCCATGGAACGTGAGATTCATAAGCTCCTAAAACCACTCCACACAAATTCTGAATATAAATCTGACCTATGTGAAATTTTTAAAGAGAAAATGTTACTAATCAAAATCTTAAGAGGATCCCCAACCCCTGCTCTTCCTGAGAGCCTCAGCCTAGAGCAAGTTTGGGGGTGGTGGTGATATTTATTAGACACAAAGCTAAGGGGTGAACATCATCTCTCACCCAGTGGCGCCGTTTGCGCGTGGCCCGGGTTGGATAGCTGGGCCCCAGACAGGCCGGGTGGTAAGCATGGCGGCAGCGCTCGCACTCCAGGAGGTGCTGTTGAATGTGGAGACAGAGATGGCGAAACCTGCTGGCACAGCGATGCCCTCACCTTCAGGCCTCCACGCACCCCAGCTGGCCCCTGGGCCCAAACCTTGGATCCGCGGCCTTTGCGTCCACAGACGTGGCAGAACTTGCAGCGACGGCAGCACCAGGTGTCGTGATGCTGGGGCAGGGGCCGCTCGGCCTCCTCCAGGCAGAATGGGTGGAAAGGGTCACAGCAGACTTGGCAGAACACCAGCTGGGGACAGGGTCAGGGAGTGAATGATGGGCATAGCATGAGGCCAGAGGGCCCAAGGAATCAGGCTGTGAGGACCGACAGAGATCTGGGGGTCTGTGAAGAAAGGTGGAGATCTAACCTCGTGGAGTCCTTTGCTGGCACACAGCAAGCACACCATCGGGGGGCCCCCTGGCACAGAGGTGAGCACACTCAGGCCCCCCATCAGCCACACGTTCTCTAAATCACAATCCTCCTGGGGGAAGAGAGGACGCAGGATCAGAGGGCAGCCAGGCATACAAGGCAGACCCACCTGACTTTTCAATGACACAGTCATCAAGGTTCTTCCAACCAAAGGCTCTGTCACTCACCCCACTCAATGCCATACCTTAAAATCCACACGGACGCGGTGCACACCATCAGGAGACTTCTGCTTTCCAGTCCAGCCATTGGGAAAAGAAGCAAAGGGGCCAGGGGCCAAAGCATCCTGGGGAGGGAAGGTGGGGGAGTTCAGAGCTGCCAGCCTGGCCGAGATGCAGACTCCTCTCCTCACCGCCCTTCCCCCAGCCTACTGGACCCAGACCCTGATCCAGACCCCTCTGCTCTCCAGACAGGCAAGGCCCGCCTCATCCCTCAGGGCCTGTCCTCTCGTGTGGACACACCACGACACTCAGGTGTGTCTGTCACTCTGACTTGCCAGGTAGCTCCTGGAGGGAAGGGGCTCTCGGAGCGGGCCGTGCTGACCTTGTCCAGGCGCCTTCGGGCCTTGAGCTGCAACACAGGCTGCAGGGTGGGTTTGCGGGGCCGGCTCTGCTCCTCAGGTTCTGGCAGCGGCAGCTCTAGTCAGGACACAATGAGCAGTGAGGTCCCTCCCCTTCCACGCCCCTCTTCTTCTACAACCCCAAATGTTACCTGGATTCCCAGGGCCTTCTTTAACTAACCAAGACCCGCCAGGACGACTCTTTCTTGTTTTTTTGAGGCAGGGTCTCGCTCTGTTGCCCAGACTGGAATGCAGTGGCGTGACCCATAGCCCACCGCAGCCTTGAACTCCCAGGCTCAGACGATCCTCCTGCCTCAGCCTCCTGAGTAGCTGAGACCACAGATGCGTGCCACCACATACAACTAACTTTTACTTTTATAGAGATGGGGTTCCACTGTGTTGCCCTGGTCTTGAACTCCTGGGCTCAAGTGATCCTCCCACTTCAGCCTCCCAAAAGTGCTGGGATTACAAGTATGAGCCACTGCACCAGGCCTAGGATGACCCTTAAGTCTCACTCATTAGGCTCACTGAGCAGCTCATAGGCCAGTTCTGTACATCCACCTAAAAACTGCCTCCTCCCCCGCCCTCAGCCACCTTCTCTATCAGACTGACAGAGCCCTGGGTCTGGGTGCCTTGTCCCTCCTACACAAAAGACACAAGACTAAATAAAGGATCAACAGAGAAAGCATTAAGCAGTTCGCACCATTTTCTCGGGGGGTCCGACGCCGAGGAGCAGGGGGGCCCCCGGGCTCCGAGTCATCCGAATCCTCGAAGATATCATAGGAGGGTCGCTGTTTGACGCAGCGCCGGGCTGACTTGCGCTGCAGGAGGGAGTCCTGCTCCTCGGGCCCTGGGGGGGCCACCACCTCCTCCCGGGGCCCCCCAGCTCCCGCCCCCCGGCGTGGGCCTGGAGGACCAGGGGAGGCCTCAGGAGATTCATCGGAATCCCAGGGCAACAGCGTCTTCACTATCGTCCGGCCTGCGGGAACAGGGGACTTAGTAGGATTTGAGCTCAGCCAGGGACACGGGACACTGGGAGAGAAGCCAGAAAGAAGCAGGGCAGGGAATGAACGCGGGAGCTATGAAAGCACACAACAGAGAAGACAGAGAGGGTGAGCTGCAAGGAAGGAGAGCAAACAAACACAGCTCCCTCCACAGCACAAACTCTAACATGGTTTTGGGAAGAAAGGCTCCTTAAAGCTCGTCACCTTTTTTAGCCAGTCGTTCCATCTTCCGAGCCTCTATTTTGTCACACTTCCGGTATCTGGGGAGGGGAGCAGCACGTCACCAGGGGAGGGGACTGGTGGTCTGGGGGAAGAGAGGAAGCTCTCCACAAGAATGCCAACCCCACTGCTCTGGCCAGGCAGAAGAGGAGCGAGGCAGGAAGCCTACAGGACCGACACCCACGGGAGCGAGGCCACGCCCCAGCTACTCACACACAGCACTGCTTCTTGGTGTTGGGGCCCCCAAACTTGGGCTTGTCTAGGCAGTTGACACAGGACCCACAGTCCTGCACACGTAGGCAGCCCCGACAGTGTCCACATCGAGCCATTCGCATCTTCTTGCCGTGATGGGAGGGCAGTGAGCGCCGGGGTGTGTGGGCCAGGGTCCCTCCAGACCCTGCGGGCTCTGAGTCTCCCCCAGGGCCTGCCGTCTCCACCTTTCCCCGCCGGGACCGTGACGGGACACTCTCAGTCTCAGACGCCGATGATGTATCTATTGTAGCAGGCAGGGAGGAGGGGATGGAGCCACAAAGCCACCAGGCCTTATACCTCACTTCCCTGCTTTCCGACAATCTGGCTCTGGCTTTCTCACAGTGCCAGGTTCCTGGTGCCCCCAAACGAAGTTGCTCTAGGACCTAGTACTCAAGCCCGCTTGCCACCTAATCCCCAAGCACCTGACTTGGCTCCCTCTCTCCTAGGCTCTTGGTGCATGTCACCCAAGTGTGGGGTCATCCCCAAACCTGACATGGTTGTCCAGTCTCCCCACCTACCCTCTGTGGCGAGGTCCTGCCGATCCCGGAGAGGGAGGGCACTGAGGCGAGGGACATCTTCGGGCACCATGGCCCGGGCCTGACCCAGAGCCACAGCAGCATGACGGCAGACATGTTTGATGCGGGGACCTTGCACAGGTGACTCAGGACCCTGGGGGGAGAAATCGCAGTGTGGGTGGGCAGATGCTGCTTGCGCTCCCACAGTCCCACTCCTCCCGCCAGTCTTCTTCAGGGCCCTCCTCCCGATGCATACCGAGGGCCGCTCTCTCTTAGCTTCCACCGACTCATCTTCGGGCCGGACAGGGCCTCTGTCGGAGACCTGCTTGAGAGCCCCGGCCACCTCCTCCATCGGCCCCCCAGGGCTTGGCTGGCAGGGAATAAACAGGGTCAGGGGCTGGACAGTGAAAAAAGATAAGGACAGGGGGCTGGGTATGGTGGCTGATGCCTGTAATCCCAGCACTTTGGGAGGCCGAGGCGGGCAGATCATGAGGTCAGGAGTTCGAGACCAGCCTGGCCAAAGTGGTGAAACCCTGTCTCCACTCAACATACAAAAATTAGCCAGGTGTGGTGGCGGGCACCTGTAGTCCCAATTACTCGGGAGGCTGAGGCAGGAGAATCTCTTGAACCCAGAAGCGAAGGCTACAGTGAGCCAAGATCATGCCACTGCACTCCAGCCTGGGTGACAAAGAGACACTCCATCCCAAAAAAAAGAAAGACAGGGACAGGGAACTAGCACGGGGAAGGGCCGGGGCTGGGGAGGAACAAAGGATGGTGGGGGATCACAGAAAGTCAGATTCTGAGGGTTCCCTGCAATGCTGGAAAGTGTCCAGGGAGGCGGAAAGTTAAGGGACTGCAGGGAATGGAGACTGGATGGCTGGGTGTGCCGCTGGGCCCAGGTACCGTGCTCACCGGCATGGAAGCTGCCACCTTCTGCTGCTGCTGCTGGTCGATCTTGAATAGCTGCACTTTGGCTCTCTTGAGGAGGCTGAACATCTTCTCCTCTACCCCAGACAGCGGCAAGGAACCCAGGCCTGCAATCCGGGCTTTTTCCAGGGGAGGCATCTGCTGTGGTGACGGCGGTGGCTGCAGCTGTGGCTGTGGTGGTGGTAGCGCCTGGGGCAGGAGCTGGGTTTGCAAGGCCTGCAGGGGCTGCAGTAGCTGAGCCTGTGTCTGTGGCCCGTTGCTCAGAGCTGGAGCCCCATGAGGGGACACCTCGGCCTTAACAGGAGTGGCGACCACAGGGGCGAATCGAGGCAGGCTGAGGTGGTTGGTGCGGCCCACTGCCCGAGGCTCAGGCTCAGCTGGAGAGTCATCGGCAGGAGGAGGCTCTGGCTCAGGGGCTTCAGGAGCCCCAAGAGGAGGAGGAGTAAGCACCGATTCGTAGATCTTCAGGTGGGCTTCGCTTGGGGTAAACTGAGGGGCCCGAAGGAGTAGGGGCCTCCGGGAGGAGGTGGCTGGAGCAGGGGGTGGGGAGGGGGCCGGGGGAGGTGGAGGGGCTGGGGGAGGAGGGGGCAGCTCCCGGGTCAGTGAGGTCCAGCGAAATGTGGGTTCCCTTAGGATGGACCGTCTCTTCTCAGGGAGTGGGACTGGGGTAGATGGAGGAGTTGGGGCACGTGGTGGAGAGGGGACTGGTGCTGGTTCCTGGGGAACAAGTGGGGAGGTGGTGATGGGAGGTCGCAGGACAGGTGAGACCTCCACCTTTGGGGGCCTGGGGGGGTCTTCATCCATAAATCGCCGGGGTGTCTTGATGACACGGGAGGAGCGGGCACTCACCACAGGCATAATAAACTGCCGGATATTCTTCAGGAAGGTGGTGCTTTTGGGGGCCACGGTGGGACTGTCTTCCGGAGGGCCTCCCGTGGTGGTGCTGGGGGTTGGAGTGGGAGGAGAGGTACCCTCTGGCCCTGCCCGAGCAGCTTCCCGCTCCGCCCGCTGGCTGGGAGTCAGGGGAGGCCGGCCCCTCTTCCTGGAGCACGTAGCTGGGACCACAGGAGGAGGTGACTCTTCCTGCTCCTCTTGGGCAGGAGGCGGTGGAGGGGATGGTAGAGGTGGTGGGGACACTGGGGGTGGTGGTGGAGGGCAGAGTGGGGGTGGAGGAGATGTTGAAGGGGGTGGGAGGGGCGGAGGAGGTGAAGGGGCTGGAGGAGTCAGAGGCGGTGGTGGCAGCTTTGTCTCTTCCTTTTCCACGGCTGGCATCGTCTCCTCAGCTACAGCTCTTTCTTCCTTCTCTTCTCCCTCCTCCTTGTCTTTTTCTTCTTCTTCTTTCTTCTCTTCTCCCTCGTCATCCAGCTTCTGTTCCTGCTTTTTCCAGCAAGGGCTCCCTCCCTGTCCAGATCCAACTCTTCTTTGGGGGGCATCCTGCCAAGTTTCCTCATGTTGACCTTGACCCTGACCTGATTCGAGTCCCAAGGACAATTGTCCCATCTTTACTCTTTTGGCCCTTGAAACAAACTTGATCACAAAAGGGAGCCCACCACCTCGGCCTCGGCCCCTGCCTCCACGGCCTCCGCGGCTTGACTGTCCTCCACGCTTGGGGGTCCCAGGTCCTGGGCCGGGTCCCTCCTTACACTTCCAGCTGCCAGTTTGGTGTTTCACTGGAACCACAGGAGGTGGGGGCTCAGGTTTGGGGATTGTCACAGCTGCTTCTGCCACCACTACTGCTTGCTGCTTCCTCCTGCAGGGGCCTGCTGGCCGTCCTGGGGGCCGTCCCCGAGACCGCCGGGGGGTGGAGGGCTCACACGCCCGGCTCCGGGGTGCTGGGGGTGCCTGGGCCCGCCGGAGAAGTTCAGTCAGTGCCTGCACCATCCGTTCTGTGCCTTCCTCACCCCGTTTCCGGGCAGGGGTCTTTGGGGGGGTAGGAGCCACATCTGCTAGGCGAGGAGGTGGAAGGGGGGTCGTCTTATGCTTGCGACCCCGACCTCGGGGCGCTCGACCTAAAAGGAGAATAGGTGTGGGGAGATGGATCAAGCCGGCCCTGCAGACAGAGGAAAGCGCTCCAGGAGGGCAGGGACTAAGTCTTGCCTGTGTGTTTCCCCCGCTGCCCAGACTAGCTTGGACTCTGAACACAGAACACACTCGGCAACTGACAGAGACTAGTTGAACAGGGAAGAGCTGACACGAAGGGCGAGGATAAATTCCTGTGACGCTACAGAGGTGGAGTTCCCCCGTCACTCACCTCGCTGGGATCGGAGCGCAGAGCGCAGGGAACTGGGGGCCACATCTTCATCTGAATGAAAACCCTGAAACTCCTGATTTAGGGGACCAGGGGTGGAGGGGAGAAACAGCAGTCAGTGCCAAAGCCCTCGTTCCACCTGAGGCATCGAGGAATATCCCCAGTTCCCACTTAACATACCCCTGCCTATTTAAAAAGAACAAAAAAGAGTCAAAGGTCACGGGGAGTGCAAGAGAGGGTCTTTCCCTAGGGATGGAGGCGCCAGGTATTCTGAACCCCGATCCCCAGTGCTGGACCACAGCAGCACAACCAAAGCCATGGTTCACTGGCTCAGGAGAGACGACGACAGGGTCTCCTCAGGGAAGGCAGCAGGCCCCACACTCAGATTCCCTCAGAGTCCAACTGAGACCAAAGTGGGACCTCCACTGACACCCTCTCGGGCCACAATTTCTTTCTGAATTAAGTTGGGAACAGGGGCCCGCAAGTGGAGGGGCAGGGAGGGCATCAGATGGCTTTCGTACAGGCTCCACTGCAAGCCCTCAGGTGGTTATTAAGCGTCCAGGGTAGCAACCCACACCTTCCTGCCTGTTCTGAAAGGCTGGGGGAGAAATCCTGAGCTGAGCTCTGACCTGCCAGGGTGCCCAGTCCCGGCCTTCATCCCACTCCTGTTCAGCCCGAGCCCCAAGAGGAAACCCTCCACCATTCCACCTGAGATGCCAAGAGGAACTGGGGCCCTGGAGAAACCAGAAGGTTGCGAGGCCCGGCAGGGCGGCCCACAGGTAAGAGCCCAGACAGCTCCAACCTGTCTGCCAAGGCCACGCTGCCGCTGTCAACCACGACTGGCTGGGCATGCAGTCCCCACTGCCTCCTCGCCCAAACCTCCACCGCCCTAGCTCTGCCAGCTGCCGAAAAGGATCGGCCCAGGACACTTCAGCGGGACCGACATCGGGCGCGAGTGCCCGGCTGCAGCCTGGGCTCCTCTACCCACTTCCAGAGGCCCTTTCCCCCGGAAGCTGCATGCAGCCTCCCTCCCTCCGTGCCCCGTCTCTCCGAAGGAACCCTGAGGACCCGGCCTGCCCACGCCACCCCCGGGGCAACCCAGACCCCTAGAAGCCCCGGCCTCCGCCCCACCCGGCACCGGGGACGCCTCCGACCGCCTCACCTCCTCGTCGGATTCCCCGTCACTGCTCTCCTCCTCCGGCACGCAGCCCCGACTCGGACCCCAGCCCCGGCCCCGACCCCGGCCCCGGCCCCGCTGGACCCGCGGGCCGGCCCACAGGCGGCGGAGCCGGCGCAGGCCCCGGCGGAGCCCCAGCAAACGGAGCAGGGCCGTGTCCTCCCCGGGCTCGGCTCCGCCCGGCCCCGTCGCGCCACCGCCGCGCCGCAGAGCTACCCGCACTCTTTCGGCCCCGTTGCCCCGTCCGCCGCGGCCCCCGCCCCCGCCGGCGCCCCGCGGCCGGCCCGGGAAGCGGCCCCGCGCGGAGCCAGGCCCGGGGCAACTGCCGCCGCCCGCCGCCGCCGCCATCTTGGCACCGTGAGAGGGGCCGGGGAGGCGGGGGGAGGGGCGGCCCGTGCGCAGGGCCGGGGGGAGGGGAGAAAGCGGGGGCGGGGCGGGGCGGCCCCGGCGCACGACAACAACCAGCGCCGCCGCGGGGCCGCCGGAGGCCGGGGGCCGGGCCGGCCACGCGCAGGGCACCACGGGAGAGGGAGTCCGCGGCCGGCCGGCGCCCTCGGACCGCGCCTGGGGAGCACAGACCCCGCGTTGCGGCCGCAGAGGGGCGAGCCGCGGGGGCCTCCGGGAAATGTAGTCCGGACGCCTCGCTTCTTCCGCCGGCAGCCAAGGCGCGAGGGCTGGGACTGCTGAGTTCCCGGCCAGGACCCGGAAAGCGGGTTGCCGGGTCTCCGGGAGGTGTGGTCCTAGCCCCAGGCTCCTCCCATTGTTCTTGGCGAGACCGGCGGCCCGCGTGGACTACCACTCCCAGGGTGCCGCGGGCTCGGGCCCCGGGACCCCGAGGCCCTGGGAAATGCAGTTCGCGGCGCAGGAGGCGTGGGCTGGAGAAGGAGCGGTGGAAGGCATAGTCAGTCTCCGTTCCGGGCGCGATCCGGCGGCGGTTCGGCACGGCCTGGAGGGAAGACGCCGGAGAGGCCGCGGTCTCGGGGTCTGTGTGCTCCCGGAGAGGAGGCGGGTGGCCGAAAGCAGGGTCGGAGCACACGTTCCTCTCTCGCTCGGGCCGAGCGCTCCCAGATCAGACTCCGCGCGCCGTGGATTGCAGTGGAAGGGGCGAGTGACTTGCGGTCGCACAGCCCCCACCAGCCTAGGACCGGCATGCCGCGAGGTGTGCCCGGACACCGAGCCCTCGCGGCCGGCTGCCTCCTGGGGAGGACTAGGAGCCTCGGGGGTGGAGGAACTGTCCACCCCGCTGGACGGCGGACGCAGGACCACCAGGGGCCGCTACAGGACAAGGGGCGTGGGCGGGGGTGTGCACAGACTAAACTTGGCTTTCTAGTCCTGAAGGGAGAGCACAGGAAACTCTTTATTATGGTGATGAGATCGACAATCTCCCCCCCACTACTGTTAACCTTCGCTTCTGCACACTTCAGTGTCCTCACCCTGTAGGGCTCGCTGGCCTGGGCTTCTGCGACCCGCGATCGTCCAGGAGAGGGCACTCGGTGCCCTTTCTGGGGCGGAATTTGCTAGGCCGCCGTAGCAGCGGTGCCAGGTCAGAAGCCGAGCCGGCCCGCTTTTCGTTCTTTAATTGGACTGTTGACTAAGACGCTACCGACACCCCGTCAGGTGGTGGAGGAAGAAGGACAACAGGGAGAGGTCGAGGGCCGAGACGGCCTCGAGGAGGAGTAGAGGAAGGTGGAGCGGATGGTCCATCCTGGCGGGAGTTGGCTGGGCGAGTGACCGCGCATGTGCGCCTGCATGGAGGCCACGCTGGGACAGCCGGCCCCGCACAGGGGGCAGCGGTACGGAGCGGCCCCGTGAGTCCGCAGATGCTTGGTCATGGCCGAGAAGTCCCGGGAGCGCTGAGGACAAAGGCTACAGGAGAAGGGCTTCTCTCCTAGAGCGGTCGGAAGGGGAGGCGGGTGAAGGAAGGAAGCGGGCGAAAGCTGGCCAAGTTAGGGGTGGATCGGGCCACGGGGTGAGGGGATTGCGCGGGAACCGGACACGCAGGTGGAGACTCAGGAGCGGAGTTGGGAAGAGAGCCGACAGTTCACACAGGGCGGGGCGCCCATACCTGTGTGGACTCGGTAGTGCGTCTCCATCTGATGCTTGAGTGAAAACCTCTTTCCACAGACAGAGCACGCATAGGGCCGAGACCGAGCAGGAGGGGCCGGGGGAGGGTGCGGGCGAGGTGGGCAGCCTGCCTTGTCCTCATGACCCGCACAGGTTGCAAGTGCACCTGTGGGGACAGAGAAGGCAAAGGAGGGCAGGGCCAGGAATCCCAGCGTCAACTCACTGTACCATTCAGGCAGGAAATCAAGGGCTACAGTGTGGCTGAGGCACGAGTGCCCCGGCCCGACTCACCTGTGTGCCCCTGATGAGACTCTTCCATCTCCCCAGGGCTGAGCTGTGCGGGGCCCTTGGGGAGGGAACCTGGAGAGAACAGTGGGAGGTAGGGGCCCTGCTCGGGCTGGACTCCTGGAGCCCCACCCCAGAGAAGGCACCGTGTTACAGGTGTATGCAGGGCATCGAGGGGCTTACCTGGGGTGGGGCTGGAGGAGGCCAACTGGTTCTGACTCCAGAGCCCTTTGGGGGCATTAAGGGACAGTGGGATCCTGGGATAGGGTGGGGAAGAGTTACAGCCTTGACTAAACCTGAGAGCCTGCCCTCTTCCTGAAGAGGGGGCATCCCAAGTCCTCTCCCCGGGGCTGGGCTTTGGCATGTCCTGTGGCGGCAGCTTCTTGTCTCATCCCCAGCTCAGGAACTGTGCAGTAGAGATGCGGTGCCTTTCCACCCAGCAGGGCTGCCCCTCCTAGGCCACACCCTCCCAGCCTGGAGGCCGGGAACTAGGCCCCTCCACTCACCTGTGGTCCCGCCAGACCTCCTGCCAGGCTCCAGTGGTGGGAGTGCTATGGTAGAAGGGAATACCATATCCGGGCGGCATCAGCAGGATGCTCCACAGGGCAGGCTGGCCCCCCACCAACCAAGGGGCCTCAGCCCACAAGGGCCTGGGGGTGACGCTGGTTTGCAGGGAGCCTGCTGGGGGAAGGGAGCCAGGGAGCTCGCGCAGACTTTCCTCAGAGCCCCCCGGATTCTCCCTCAACCACATGAGCACTCCATTCTTCCCATCTGCTCCCCTTTGGCCAACAGGGTCTTGGAGGCGTTTCTCCTTTGACCTGGTCTGTTCCTGCTGAGCCTCCTGTGTTGCTTCTGCCATCTCGGGGCTGCCTCTTGGTGGCGAGTGCTTGTGCAACATCTCCTGTTCTCTCCCACCAGTTCTAGAAACCTGCTCTGGTTTCTGCTTCTCTCCAGGGTCCCCCAGTTCTCTCTCAGGATTCCTTGAGGGTTTCTCTGGCTCCTCCTGATGTTTCTTCAGGACTGGATCTGGCTCTTTAGCCCTGTCTGCTCGAGCCCTCCAGCATGCCTCTTCCAGGGACTGCACTCCCAAGGCCCTGGCCGCCTCCTCAAGGGGCCTTAGCTCCCCAGGCTGCAGCTCTACAGTCTCCCCATACACAAAGTGCAGGAGCTGGGCAAAGGTAGAAGGGCTGATGCCTTCTCCCAGAGCCCACTGGCCCCTGCGGCCCAGCTGCTGGCTGACACCTGCTAGCACCAGGCTGTGGGCGGGGAACTGCTGGCTCCCTACGGTGATCAGAGTATCACATAGTGCTGGCCGGAGCCTGGCTGCTAGCTGTACCAGCCGATCAGAGCCATAGGGGCTGGGCAGTCTTATGGGGAGCAGGGACATTGTGCCTTGCTTGGGTACCAATCTCAGAGGCTCTAAGAGAAAGGCCACAGTGTGAGGTCCATGGTTGAAAGGGGAGGGAGGAACATCTCATCTCATTTCAAGCCTGTAGATGTGAGGGGAGAGAGTGTGAGTTGCTGGTCCTAGATCAGAGCCCTCTGTCCTGAGTGAGCAAATAAAGTAACCCAAGAGAGGATTGGAGCTTATCTAGAATCATAGCAGGTAGGCATGGTGGCGAGAGAATGGAAATCAGACCAAATTCAGGACTTAAAGAGCAAGGGCCAGTTAACAGAAATAGCTAGTAGTGGGTTTTAAGACAGGCATGTGGGAAGTCTTCCAGTTAGCAGCCTCTGACGTAAAAGATATCAGATACTGCCACTTCTGCTTCTCCAAGCCCCTGTGCAGGGAAACACCTCTGTGCAAGCCAGGCTTTCTTCAGTACAGACGAGGATCACCACAAAACCCAGTCAACCCCGGCACTAAGGGATGGAGCATGACACAACTTCACGGGAGAGCTTAGAAAGCTAGTGGGTCCTCCCCCAAAAGCCCATTGTGCCTGAAAGGCAGAGAGGGCAGCATGATAGGGATCCTGGCTGCAGGAACGCAGACGCTAAGGCATCCGGCAGTCATCACCGTGAAGCTGAAGCTTCTAGAACATGTCCTCAGGGAAGGAACCAGACATTCCCATCCAGAGAATGAGGAGAGCAGGTGCAGAAGCCACAGGAATGGAGGCTCCTGACCCATTGATAGAGGTTTTGGAGAATGGACCCCTGAGGAGATGGGAGGAAGGGACATGGGGACTGGAGACAGGGAGGCTATTTCCTCTCAAGATTCGGGTAAGGAGATGGTTTAATTTGTTTTTCATAAGGCAAAAAGTGAAGAATAGAAAGCACCCAACCAGGCAGGAGTTTCTCACACATCAAAACCACCACACTGGCTTTTAAAAAGAGAGCTGGGAACCCAGATACGAAGAGAACCAGAACCTCAGTGTCTTAGCACCCAGCAGGCAGAGTCCTAGGTGCAGGCTCCCTGTGAGCAAGGGCCCTTGGGGTGGGGAGGGCCACACTTGGACACCTCAGGGAGAGGGCTCCAGGTTGGCAGGGAGGGGACAGAAAGAGTTGTGATGGGAAGAAGGCCTCAGCTGGGGAGAGGCCATCACTCACCGCTTGTAGCTTCTTCCAGGACACCGCATGCTCTGAACTACTGTTGGGGCTCCTGGGGCCCCCCCTGGAGCTAGCCCCGCCCCTGACCTCACAGGCCTCCATTGGATGTCCCAAGTATCAGTCTTCCACAGTCCCCCCGAGAGGGTGTGGTTTTCTAACCCTGCCTCTGCTTTCTGCCTGCAGGAGAGACCACCCCTCTACCTCCAGAACACACACGTTCTGCCCCTAGCCTCCTGTCTCCTCACTTTGTGTGTGAACTCCTAGAGTCAAAGCAGTGTATCTGTGACAGCAAGGACCTTGGAATAATCAACCCTGCCTCTGAGTTTCATCTCTGCCATTTACTAGTTGAGTCATCTTGGGCAAGTCACTTCTCTGGGCCTCAGTAACCTCATTCATGAAATAGGGATAATATCTGCTTACCTCATTTGGAGGTGGGGGTGAAGATGAAATGA